ATTATAATATATATATAATATATATATATAGTATAACTTATAGATATATACGTATGTGTGTGTGTGTGTGCGTGTGTAACTTAGAATTCCGATGACAACTTGACAAAGCAAAACATAAAGCCACGTACAACATAACCTTAATCCCATCCCTATCGCAAATATCAGACAACCCTTATCCTCCGCTTCAACAGACAACAAAAGGGTCGCCATCAAGGTCATTGACAACATCAAGGAGAACCTGGAGGAGGTCGAGGAGGAGTACAGAGTCCTGGCGGAGCTCAGCCTTCATGAGAATTTTCCTGTGTTCTACGGCGCCTTCGTCAAGAGGGCGGGCAGCCTGGAGTCGCACCAGATGTGGCTCGTGATGGAGGTAGGAATAGCGGGAATGAGGGAGAGGAAGAAGGAGGCGGGGAGGAGGAGATTGGGAGGGAAATTGGAGAGAGAGAGAGAGAAAGAGAGAGAAGGGGGAGTGAGAAAGAGAGAGAGAGAGAGGGGGGTGAGAAAGAGAGAGAGAGAGAAAGAGAGTGAGAAAGATGAGAGAGAGGTGAGAGAGAGGGGGGGGTTGAAAGAGAGAGAGGGAGGGGGAGTTGTTGAGAAGTGTGGGAGTGAGAGGTGAGAGAAGAGAGAGAATGAGAGAGAGGGGAGGGAGGAGAAGAGAGAGAGGGGGGGGTTGGTGAGAGAGGAGAGAGAGAGAAGGGGAATGAAGAAAGGAAGGAGAGAAGAAGAGAGAAAGAAGAGAAACGAAAGAGAGAGAGATAGAAGAAAGCGAGAGAGAGAGAAAGAGAAAGCGAAGAGAGAGAATCAGAAAAACAAAAAGAGAAAGAGATAGACAAGAAACAGAGAGAGAAAGAAGAGAAAGCGAAAGAGAGAGAGACAGACAGAGAAAAAGAGAAAGAAATAAAAAAAACTCAACAAAACCTCAACTCCCCATACCCCTCTAACCACAACCCAGACCCTCACAACCCACAACAAATTTCCTTAAAACTACAACACCCTCTAACCACAACGTCTTCCACAGCTCCTTACCCACGGCACCGTCTCAGATCTTGCGGCCGCCTACAAGAACAAGGAGGAGAGAATGCCGGAGGAGGTCATTGCCTACATCTTGAGGGAGGTCATCAAGGTAATGATGATGATGATGATGATGATTGATTTTGGTAATATTGATGATTAATGATGATGAATGATGGATATTGATGATGATGATGATGATTATGGTAATATTGATGATGATGAATGATTATGTAATATTGATGATGATAATGATGATGGATTGATGATGGTAATATTGATGATGATGATGATGATGATTATGGAATATATTGATGATGATAATGATGATGATGATGATGAATGATGATGATAATGATGATAATAGTAATGTAGGTGTTACTGATGATAAGAGTAATAATAGTAAAGTTGATGATAATGATGATGATGATAGTGATATTGATGATGATGATTGAATAACTGCAAGTAAGTTATTAATATTTAATGGCAATAGCAGTAACAATAAAAATAATGAAAACAGTAATAATGATAGTCATAATAATAATGACGATGTTAATAATGTGAAATATGATGATAATGATAATAATACAGATAATAATGATTACTACTACTACTACTACTGATAATAATATAATATTTATTACCATAACCATAAAATTCATCGTATCAACCATAATCGTATGATAACAAAACAAAACATACAAAATGGTATCTATAGTAACCACAGTCGTGAATATAGAGAACATTCCAAAAAGTCGAATAGCGATGGATCTCCAGAATCTTCCATCTTGCTCAAGGACTTCCATGTCTAAGATCTCTCCATCTGTTCATCTCCCAGGCGGTGCAGCATCTCCACGCAGGTCACGTGATCCACAGAGACATCAAAGGCATGAACATCCTCATCACCGAGGAAGGGAAAGTCAAGCTGGTGGATTTCGGTAAGGCAAGAGAAAGAGAGAGATGGGGAGAGAGAGAGAGAGAGAGAGAGAGAGAGAGAGAGAGAGAGAGAGAGAGAGAGAAGAGAGAGAGAGAGAGAAGAGAAGAGAGAGAGGAGAGAGAAGAGAGAGAGAGAGAGAGAGAGAGAGAGAGAGAGAGAGAGAGAGAGAGAGAGAGAGAGAGAGAGAGAGAGAGAGAGAGAGAGAGAGAGAGAGAGAGAGAGAGAGAGAGAGAGAGAGAGAGAGAGAGAGAGAGAGAGAGAGAGAGAGAGAGAGAGAGAGAGAGAGAGAGAGAGAAGAGAGAGAGAGAGAAGAGCAGAGGAGAGAGAGAGAGGGAGAGAGTAAGAGAGAGAGAGAGAGAGGGGGAGAGGAGAGAGAGAGAGAGAGAGAGAGAGAGGAGAGAGAGAGAGAGAGAGAGAGGAGAGAGAGAGAGAGAAGCGAGATTTGAATATGCAGGAATGTCCCTAGTTTCAATTATCTACGTATTTATAAGCCTATCATCCTTACCTTATCATCTGGTTCTTTATTTTCTTTTAAAATAGTATTTATATTTACCTTCTTACAATCCACACTGTTACTATCTCCTATTTCGCATGATAGTTCTCTCTTTTCTCTTCACCTGTCATCCATTCCTATCATCAGCTAGTACTATTTTTTTTCACAGCTTTATTTTTTTTTATTTAACTGTCATAACTTTCGGCCGGTTTGTTAAAATTGTGCGAGAACCGACCCAATGAATATTCGTAAATACAGACACGCATATACACAGAATAATGCATATCTGTCTATATATCTGATAGATATACCTTTATCTATCTGTTTGCCCGGTTGGTATGCTTGTCTAGACTGATAACTATGCATTTTTTTCTTTATTTTTGCATGTCACGTATACGAATATTCTTTTAACAATTTTAACAATCCGGCCGTTTAAAATTTTTTTTTTTTACATTATGCAGTTTTGTCTGTCCAATCAACCATGTGTCGCAATATATTACAATCCTAATATCTTTACAAAATAGATTTGTCTATCCACTTAATAATCTATCACAATTTATTATTAACTAAATGTGTCCAAGGTAAGGTGTTATCTGATCATTTAATAAAGAAAAACAAGATAAACCCCAAAGAATTCAAATAAAAAAACAAACACACACGACAGAACAAACAAATAAAAAACAACAAAGCTAAACAAAAAATTAATCCAACCTTTATTAACAAACTTCTCTCTCTCCCCTATACAACACAACCACAACAACAAACAACAACAACAACAACACCAACAACAACAACAACAACACCACCAACCAACTCAACAACCCCACCCACAACAAACCACCACCAACCACAACAACCACCAACCAACAACCAACCACCACCAACCAACAACACCAAAAACCACCAACCCACCACCTCACCAAACACCAACACCACCACCTACCACCACCACCCAACCACCCCCACCACCACCACCCCACACCACCCACCACCACCTCACCCAACCACCAATCAACTCAAACAACAACCACAACAGGGCAGTGCGGTCACCTGGACAACACGATGGGGAAGCGGTGCACTGCCGTCGGGACCCCCTTCTGGATGGCCCCTGAGGTCATCGAGTGTGAACAGAAAGCCGATGTCGACTATGATAACCGCGTGCGATGTCTGGTCACCTCGTAAGTTTTTTTTTTTTTTTTTTTTTTTTTTTTTTTTTTTTTGAGAGTGAAGGGAGGGGTAGGGAGGGTTAGGGGAGGAGAGTGAGGGGAGAGGAGGGGAGCTTTTGAGAGGGGAGGGGGAAGAGAGAGGAAGGTTTGGGTGGTCTTGGGTGAGTTCATTGGTAGGCCGTTTTTTGTGGTTCTTTGTGGGGAAGATTTTTGAGGGGAGAGTGGGAGGATTGGGTGATTGAGTTAGCGGAGAGCTGTAGAGGATTAGGGATTTAGGTAATCGTCTCCTTTCTTAATGATTAACAGATAGAAAAATATCTAGATAATTAATGACAATAATGATAATGATAATAATGACAATGATAATAATAACAATGATAATAACAATAACAGTAATGACAATATTGATAAAAATAAAAAAATAATACAAATGGTAACATTAATATCAAATATCATAACAATAATGATAATCAATGGAAAATACTTTTCTCCCCTCCTCTTCACCCTTCTCCCCTCCCCCATACCCCTTTACTCCCCCTTCCACTCACCCCTCTCACTCCCCCCTTCTCCTTCATCACATTCCCCTCGCACTCCCCTCTCCCCCTTCACCCCCCCTCCACCTCACCCTCCCACTCTCCCCTCTTCCCTCTCGTCCTTAACTGCCCCCCTCCCCCTCACCTTTCCCTCCCGCCCCTCTCCCCCTCCCCCCACTCACCCCACCCTCCCCTCCCTTCCACCTCACCTTCCCCCCTCCCCTTCACCCTTCTTCCCCTATTCACCCCCTCACCCCCTCACCTCCCCCTTTCCCCTTCACGTTCCCCAGACCCTCTTCCCCCTTCAACCCCTCCCTCACCCCCTTCCACCCCCCCTCCCCCTCTTCCCTCCTCCTCCTCCAGGCAATCACGGCCATCGAGCTCGGGACGCGGCGACCCCCCCTACGCGGACCTCCACCCCGTCCGCGCCCTCTTCCAGATCATCCGCAACCCGCCGCCGCAGCTCCGGAGGGTCTCGGACTGGACTCAGGACTTCGTGGACTTCATCTCCGAGTGGGTGGACGGCGCTTGTTCCTTGGGAAAGGGGGGGGGGTGGGGGTGGGGGGGGAGGGGGGGAGGGGGGGGGGAGGGGAGGATTTTTTTTTTTTTTTTTTTTTTTTTTCTTTGGTTTTTGGGTGTCTGAGGGTGTCCAGTTTTTGTAATATATTATATATATATATATATATTATATATATAATATATATATATATATATATATATTATATATATATATATACGTATATATATACACGATGTGAAGTGTGTGTGTATGTGTGTGTGTGTGTGTGTGATTGTGATGTATAGATAATAATATATATATATAATATATATATATATATATATATATAATATATATATATATATATTAATATATATATATATATATTATATATATATATATATAATTAGTCTGTCAGGGAGTGAGTGTTTTATCCTGTTCCTTTTTTTCCTTTCTCATTCGTATTTGGTTTTGCATTTGCTGGTGTCTGAAAATGATTCAGATTTTTAAGGTGTGGGAATCACATCCTATTCCCCTTTTCCTTCGTTAACTAAAATAGACAACATCATTTAACTTGAAAGACAAGGAAAATCTTGAATTAATTATTTCACATTCGTAATAATTGGCGACAGTTATCCATGAGTTTTGAATCTCAGCTGTACTAAATTCTGCGTTTTATTTTTTCTTCTTTCTTTTTTTTTTTTTTTTTTTGTTTTTCTTTTCTTTTCTTCTTCCTTTTTTCATTGTTTATTTTTTATTTTTTTCATCATATTTCTTTTTTTTTTTTTTATTTCTTTCTCTTTCTGTTTTTTCGTTTTTTTTTTTTCTCTGCTTTTTTCGTTTCTATTTTCTTTTTCTTTTCTTTTTCTTTTTTTTTTGTTTCTTTTCTGTAAATTCACCATACAAAAAAATCCTTTGAACCATCCTTCATCCTTTCTCCTAGATTTTAGTGAAGAACCGGACCACCGACCTGTCATGCTGGAGGTCCTTGAGCATCCTTTCATCCAGGGAGTCCGGAGGATGACACGGGCGGTGAGTACGGATAGAGGGGGGGGGGGAGGAGAGGAGAGAGTGAGTGAAGGATGAGAGGAGAGAGAGGGAGGGAGGGAGAGGGAGATAGAGAGGGGAGGGAGGAAGAATGAGAGAGAGAGAGAGAGAGAGAGAAGGGAATGAGGAAAGAGAGACAGAGAGAGAATGAGTAATAGAAAGGGAGAGAATGAGGAAGAGAGAGAGAGACAATGAGGAAGAGAGAGAGAGACAATAAGAAAAAGAGAGAATGAGTAAATAGAAAGGGAGAGAGAATGAGAAGAAAAGAGAGGAGAGAGAATGAGAAGAGAGAGAGAGAGAGAGAGGAAGAGAGAGATGAGGAAGAGAGAGAGAGAAGATGAGGAAGAGAGAGAGGGAATGAAAAAATCTGTAACTTTTTTGTTGGGACTTTAAAGGATGTGACTGAAACAACCAGGTTTATTGCTTACATTTAACCGTATTACATTAGTGATTTGTAAAATGTAAAAAGTGTATACATACACACATTTGTACAAGCACACCCAGATATATATACGCTATATAAATAAGTGAATATGTGTGTGTGTGTGTGTTTGTGTGTATATATAATATATATATATATATATATATATATAGTATATACATATATAATATATATAGTATATATATATATATAGTATAATATATATAGTATACTATATATAGATGAGAGGAGAGAGAGAGAGAGAGAGAGAGAGAGAGAGAGGAGAGAGAGAGAGAGAGAGAGAGAGAGAGAGAGAGAGAGAGAGAGAGAGAGAGATCATGTCTGAACATTTCCAAGCAGTGCAAAAATAGTGCTAATCTATTTCGTTATCATCATCTTAATCATAACGTGCTAACTTTATCATCATTTTGAGCATTATCATTACTTTTTTTATTTCCTTTTTGTTATTGTTATTTTCATCCTCATCATTATTATCATAATCATTCTTATTATCATCATTATCATTATCATTATTAATTATTATCATTATTATTTATCATATTATATTATTATCATTATTTTATCATTTTGTAATTATCGTTATTATTATGGTGATGATGGTAATGATAGATCATTTATCTAAATCATCTTGATCATATCTTTATCAGAAACAGTACATGTATTTCTGAAGAAACGCGTCTAATAATTTCCATCATTTCAAAGTTATTAATTCACGTCCATACCTTTTGGTCTACACAAATTTGTTTTTGATTTTTTCAAAACGAAAAAAACCTCTCAAATTCACTTAAGAGAAAAGTTCTCATATCAGATCAAATCTCAAAAACATCAATTCGTCGTGAGAGAACGAAATCAAGACTAAGAAATCAAGAGACAAGAAATCAAGACAGAAATCAAGACTTAGAAATCAAGAAGACATCTTAGATTCACTGTGTGATACAAAAGACACCCCGTGCGCGTCTGCCTCTTCGCCCTCGACGGCGTTCGAAGGAAGTCTCTCGCTCAGTGGACGTTGACCCTTTTCCCTGCGCTGACCCCCGCCAAGGCCGCCGTCGCCGTCGCCCTCTGGATGGAGAGAGGCACCGCCCTGTCGAAGATCTGCTCCGCCGCCTCCCCGCGGACGTCCACGCCCGCGGCCCGCCCTCGCAGCACCAGCTTCCTCAGCGCCGCGTTGAAGTCCTTGTTGAAGTAGGCGTATATGAAGGGGTTGCAGATCGAGACGAGGAGCGTGCACCCGTGGAAGAGGTACTGCGGGATACTGCCCTTCAGGACCTCGAAGCCGACGGCGACGAGCATGTTGATGATCCTCGACGGCCACTGGAAGCAGGCGAAGATCAGGAAGATCTTCACGGTCACCATCGACGCCTTCATGTTCTTCTGCAGGAACATGAGCTGGATGTGGCCGTGCTGTTCGCGCAGGCGCCGCAGGTGCGCTTTGGCGATGAAGCAGAGGTGCAGGTAAAGCGTGATGGTGATGATGGATATGAGGAGGAGGAAGCACTCGAAGGTGATGGAGAAGCCGTTCTTCACGACGGTGGTCGCGGTGCACTCGTCTACGGGCGTGGGGTCTACGGGCGTGGCGTTCACCACCCCTGCGCCGACGACGACGCCCACGGCACTGGGGATCGGCGCCGCTCCGTCAGAACTCTCGGTCAAGTTCCCTCTCGTTTCGTCCTGCGTGCGCACTATGGCACTGATCCCGGGGACGAACATGGACACGGGGAACATGAGACTTGCGAACATTATCACTGCGATGGCGCTCTTGCAGGTGTTGTCTGTGATGTAGTAATAGTAGCTGAGCGGCAGGTTTATGGTGAGGTACCGCTCCAGCGCGACCCCGAGCATGCACAGGTGGGTGTGCACTCCTGAAGCGGAAAGAACGTTATTGTACGAGTGTTTTCGTTTGTGTATGTTTGTGTGTGTTTGTGTGTGTTCTTGTATGTATGTGTGTTGCTGTGTGTGTGCGTGTGTTCTTGTATGCATGTGTATTCTTGTATGTGTCTGTGCGTGTGTTCCTGTGTGTGTGCGTGTGTTCCTGTGTATGTGTGTGTTTCCTGTGTTGTGTGTCTTGTGTGTGTGTTCCTGTGTGTGTGTGTGTGTGTGTGTGTTCCTGTGTGTGTGCGTGTGTCCCTGTGTATGTGCGTGTCTCCCTGTATGTGTGTGTCCCTGTGAGTATCTATATGTCTGTATATTTGCTCTCGCGACTCTTACATCTGAAAACGCATACCCACACATACAAACCCACGCCCACGTTCACGACAAACATAGCTCACCCATCCTCATCCTCCGAAGTCCAAGGCCCTTTAACTTACCCGAAAAACCGAAAACCACAGCTAAGGTTATACACGGCAGACCCTTCATGATCTTGTATGTTGTGATGTTCGAGACGACTGAGGAGTGAATTCGGAATACAGCTGCTATCATGTGTCCTATGCCGTGGAATATGTCTCCTGAAAAATTAAAAAAAAAACGATAGAGAGGTAGATAATCTTTGTTGATAATTATCTATCTATAATGATAATTATCTATCTCTCTCTCTTTTCTCTCTTCTTTCTCTCTTTCTCTTCTCTCTCTCTCTCTCTCTCTCTCTCTCTCTCTCTCTCTTCTCTCTCTCTCTCTCTCTCTCTCTCTCTCTCTCTCTCTCTCTCTCTCTCTCTCTCTTCTCTCTCTCTCTCTTCTCTCTGCTCTCTCTCTCTCTCTCTCTCTCTCTCTCTCTCTCTCTCTCTCTCTCTCTCTCTCTCTCTCTCTCTCTCTCTCTACTACAACTAATGATAATAATAATAATTTTGATTACAGCAATATCAATAATACTGACAATAATAATAATGATGTTAAATGCATATATAACACATGAAACCATAAGTACTAAGAGTCACCCGGATCAATAAAATCAAATAAAAAGGAATAGAAGTAATATAAAAAATGGCCACTTTATCGAGATTAGACACAGGTCATGCCATTCTACCGAGGAACACATTATAGCATTATCTCGGATGAATGACTAGCAATGTTATCCTTACTCGCAAATCTATACCACTTTATCTTTTTCTCAGAAAGAGATACATGCCTTTTATAGATTGATTGTTTTGATTGCTTGAGCGGAATATATTCGGATAAAGTTGCTTGATTTCAGGTTGTTGTCGTCAGTCTGTTTAGTATCATTCAAATTACTTTGATCGACCTGTCATGTGTGTTCTCCTTCGAATAGAGAAAGGGTTATGTGTGATCAAATTGTATTTTGATATTTTAAGCTGTCATTTTGCTGTTTCATTTTGCTTTCTTCTTTCGCTCTTTCTCTGTCTCTCTTCCTTCCTACCCTTCTCCTCTCTCTCTCTATTTTCTTCTCCTCTCCCTAATCCTCCAATCCCATCTCTCTCTATCTATCTATTTATCTATTCCCTTTCTCCCTCCCCTCTGGTTCCCTCTCTCCCTCTCTTCTCTCTCTCTCTTCTCTCTCTCTCTCTCTCTCTCTCTCTCTTCTCTCTCTCTCTCTCTCTCTCTCTCTCTCTCTCTCTCTCCTCTCTCTCTCTCTTCCCTCTCCATCATCTCCCTTTCTCTTCCTCTTTCCCTTCTTTTCCTTCTCCTCCCTCCCTCCCACCCACACACACTTCTCCCTCCCTCCCTCCCTCCCTCCCTCCCTCTCTCTCCCTTCTCTTTTTCTCCTCCCTTTCTCTTTTTCTCTCATCTTGTTCCTTTTTTTCTCTCTCTCTCCTTCACGTGTATGTGGGTATGTATTTACGCTCTTCGCATTCCGGCCCAATTATCCATGGAATAGCTTATGTTATTGGATTTCTCTTAAGAAAGCCCTTAGGAAAATGTGACACTAAACAGATGGCATTGTTTTTCTCGCTTGCTTATTGATTGTTTCTCTCTCT